CAGAGAACAGTGCAAAAGGTGAATTTGAGAAAAAGTTAGCACTTTGATGTGATGGAAAGTTCCTCAGAGGGATTACTTTTCAAATAAGTTTAAGAATGCTCCATTAGATTTCTCAAAGATGACAGGAAGCTATGTCAAGGTAACGAGGTCCCCTAAATGAGAGCAATAGCAAAGGGAAAAAAAAAAAAAAAGCCTACCGCATGCTTTGAAGCTGCTTTAGTATTCAAAAGCCACTAGAAAACCGTTAAATATAAATGAAAGAGAGAAGTGCTGGGATAAGGTCCCACGCTGAACACAGGCACTCTGAAAAGAGTGTTGAAACTGCCCCTGTAGCTTTTCAAGTGAGAGATAACTTAGAGAAACCCTAAGTGACAACTAGAATGAGAGACTGATATTTTATAAATTTGATTTTTTGTTTTTGTTTATATGCCTTTCATTTGAAGCAAGAGCTTAATCTCCTTTCCTTGCTAGAATAAATCTGTTGTTTTCATCTTCAAGCTTGTGAACTCAGGTGAATTTTTATATATAAGAGATGCTTTTACTTTGCCATAAGCAATGAATTCTAGTAAAGCAGTACTGCAGGCAAAATTCTCAGGTTGCCAGCAGACTGAAGCACACATCAGTGCATGTAAAAGTAGAGGATCAGCAGCCCTTGGGGCTCCATCTGCAAGTTTGGGAGTCAGCTCAAGAGCCAGGATGTAGGGTAATATACAGCGTGCTTTGGCCAAAGGCAGCTGATGGGCCTTCCTTAACTTGTCGAAATCTCACATTGGTGCAGGGCTGTCTTTTGAATTATGATCTTATTAGACTCCCATTGAGAGGAAAGTATAATTCAGTCTTTCTGACTCATCCATCACCACAGTAGAAAAGGTGCTTTTAGAGTGAATATAATTGCTGATGTTTACATATTTTTATTCTCAGAAAGAGTATTTCAGTTAATCTGAATAACTTCTTGCCTATGAAAATTTTACACATAGAATCGAGTATAATATACAGTACATAAGCCAGAAAATACACTGTAATGAGACAGTTATCTACATTGGTGAGGGAAATTAAAAAAAAAAATAATCAGGAGCTGTAATGTAATCAGTAAGCAGTACATTAGCCTTCTGCACCAGCTTTATGTCATTAGTTTCAAAATTAGCATATCAGTAACAGAAGAAAAAGATCACGTTAAAAGGGACTACCACATCAGCAGTTTTAGGAAACAGAAACTGCATTAAGGTCAAACATAAAGTCTTTAAAGCAAATAAACGGAAAAAGTCACAACAGACATTGTGTCATACTGGTGAAGAAGAACATTTACTAGCTTATAAAGTGACAATCTGAAAATACAAGATTATTTTAAATGTTTATGTAACCAAAATTCTGAGTGGACAGGCTAACTTACAGCTTTCACTATGAACCACCTTCTTGTATGGCCATAACTACTTTAGGATAAAAAAAGGCGCTAATATCTTTTAGAGGATATAGCAGAAATCTTTCAACTATTACTTATAATTAATTTCCAAACTGAAATTTTATCTACACCTACTTAAAAAACATTACCAACCTAACAATATGTTGTGATAGCAACACAGAACTTCAAGGGAAGAATAAATTATCAGATAATAAAATCTCTGCTGTTTTTAAGCCTGCTAACAGATTTTAAATACTCAAGAATATCAGCAAGCCTTAGAATAGAATTGTGCTTTGTGTCATATCTGAATTACATCAGAATTAAAAGAATTAGTTTTCTTTTGGATTTGTGTAAGGATGTTGTTTAAGGTTTTTTTAGGGTTTTTGCTGTTGTTTTTTATGAAGTTCTGCTTTATCACGTTGGTAGAAAGCTGCCATTTCATGCTCTAGTAGGCAGAACCATATGCCATAGATAAACCAGAGTCTGGAGAACATTCTTAGAATCTGATTTATTGTACTACTTTATTTCTAACAAAGAGTAAGACAGCTTTTAGGTTTCCCTGACGCTAGTGATGTCATTTAGGCACTTCCAGAAAAAGACCAAAAAATCCTGAACTCTGAAAAGCATGGCGTGCCTTCAATTGAATTTCTGGACATTTTTTTCTGGATATTCAACTAATGCAAACAGAAACATGAGGTAGCTGGGATTGTTTAGTCTGGAAAAGAGAAGGCTCAAGAGAGACCTCATTGCACTCTACAACTTCCTGAGGGGAGGTTGTGATGAGGAGGGGTTTGGCTACTCTCAGGCAACAAAATGGACTCAAGGAAATGGCCACAAGTTGTACCAGAGGAGTTTTAGAGTAGACATAAGGAAAAACTTCTTCTCTCAGAGAGTGGTCAGGCACTGGAATGGCTTGCCCAAGAAGGTGATGAAGTCACCATCCCTGGCAGTGTTCAAGAGGCATCTGGATGAGGAGCTACGAGATATGGTTTAGTTGCTTGTGGTAGCAGTGGTAGTGGGTAGACAGTTGGGCTAGATGATCTTGTAGGTCGTTTCCAACCTTGTGATTCTATAATTCTACAGTTCTGTGTAAACGCATCTGAGAAGGTCTGGCATTTAAACCCTCACAAAATCCTGTATTTCATTGTTTCATATTGTGGTCTAGAAAAATAACTAGCTCTGGCAAGACACAGTGTGTCAGAGTAGCACCATGTTATGCTCTGAGGGAAGGTGCTACCAAAGAACAAATATTAATATGCTGAATATAGTCTCTTCTATGTGGATTCAGTGTGAGTGTCTGACAGCTTTTTTAAACACCAATCTGTGTTTCTGTGGTTAGATTCCCTTTTCTAAGTTGGCATTTATTGACATTCTTACTGTTCTGAATAGGCTTAGCTGGAAATCTTACGTAAATCTGTGTTTGGATGAATCTGTGAGTAATTAGATTACAATCCAGAAAGGCTGTGTCCAAAAAGAGCTTTAGTCTACTTACCTGAATCACATCTGTGAGGTAACATTCGAAAACATTGGGGAGCATGTGCAAACAATTGGGAGTGACATTGTGCCAGACTTGGCCAAAACAGTAGTGAAAACTGAGTCAAGAAAATGATAAACTTCTTCAGAATAAATAAATAAATAAATAAATGAGCCCAAAATGAAAAGTTTACACCAAAGTTGGACTTGCCATAAAAATTGCTTGCACAATGCAAGCTTAGGAGATAAAACTGAGTATATTCTTTGGTTTTGAGGCATTTAAAAACCAGGAGGTGCAGCAGGATCTCAGAAGTGTCTGAGCACTGATGGAATTGGTTCTGTGATGCCAACCTTCAAAATTTCTAATTGTGTCACAGAGTGAAGAAGTTGTTTACATTCAATGTGTGGTCCCCAGAACTCATTTTACAGCTTGGTGCTCCGCAGGCACCAACACTTCTTAAGCCTTGCTATAAGTAAGGCGGTTTGCTAGGGCTGTGTTTAGTATGCAGTGAGCAGTCTTTGAAGAAGCCAAAAGAACCCAGGTTTACTTGCTCCTGAATGACGGCTTTAATTACCGGTCTTTTCCCAGCAGCTCCTCCCTCCCTTTCTGCCTTAGTAGAATGCAGGCGTCGGACCTCAGCTGCTGGGAGCCCGGCAGTGCGCCCCGGGGTTTGGTTACAAACACTCAGAGGTGATACACGAGGAGGAAGATACTGTGCCCACTGAGGGCATGAAAGCACTTCCCCGTCTCACTTGTAATAAGGCTGGCTTCAACAGCGCGGCAGTAATTCGCAGATGTGGGCGAGTTGCTACAAGTGGGGGGATTAGACGTGGTAGTTAAAACTTAACAATTTTATTTTAGTTTTTAATCAAGCTATCACTCACCGGCAATGCCACCAGCGCTAAGGCAACGAGGCTGCATAGCTCTCGGGGCCAGCAGGGAGCCCCGTGTCTGCTGGCTGAGCCTTAGAAACGGGCGGCCCACCCCACGGCCCACGCGCGGAGGGGCGCTCCCCACCCTCGCCCAGGTGCGGCCGCCTCCGGAGGGAGGGCAGGGCGGGCGGCGGCGAGCTCCGCGCCTCGGGCGCGGCTTGCCCGGGAGCAGCGCGGGGGTGGGGTGCGGTGTGGAGGCAGTTGGAAGGAAGGAGCGAGCGGAGAGAGAAAAGAAAGGTGAAGCGGCCTGAAACGCAGCTCTTTTTTTCCCCTTGTGTTCTTGGCCACCGAGGTAAACCGGTCTCCGCGGGCGCGGAACTCTCGGGACCAGGGCTGCGCGGTACCCGGTGCGAGGGTGGCCTGCTCGCTGTGCGGGCAGCTCCAGGCCGGGCTGGGCGCTGCGAGCGCGGAGCTCCTGGGCCGGGCGCTGTGCGGCTGCCGGTGTCCTGGCCTCGGCGCCCCCTCCGCACCGCTGCGTGTAAGCGGGCAGCTCCGGGCGAAGCGCTGTGCTGCAGGACGGGGAACCGCTCGGAAAGTCTGGCTTTGGCAGGAGAGAATTGGGAGGCAGCTAGGAAGCACTTTGCTTCCTTTTTGCTTTTCAGCTTGGTTATGTTAACGGTCTGTAAATGGCATACCGAGGAACTGCGCTTTATTTACTCTGCGAGTAGTTTTCGGGAAGTTAGACGCGAACTTCTCGGTAGCTGCCCACGTATTCCTGGGAATTCTCCCGAAAAGTGAATGAAACTCACTTTGCAGAAAGCCGGAGGGGCGCTCGGATGCCCTCCCTGTTACAGGGAAGGCACGGAGTGAACAACAGCGCCGGGTGTTGCCGCAGCAACTCGCCCCAGTGCTCCCGGCCAGTTCCACCTTCAGCTGCTTATTCACTTCCTCGCTCCGGAGACGCTTCTTCACGCTGTCTGCAAGCTGTCCCACTGGAATTTCTTGCAGAGCAAGGTTTGACTCCGAACTAGCAAAATTGCTGAACTTTTCTCTGAAAGAGAGTTATTCTGCAATTGAAAAAAGAATAAACAACAACGAAAAACAACAGGAAGGAAACATTTTGACAGAGGATATACTTAAAATATTTCCTAATCAAGCACTGTGTTGAGTTGCACTTGATATCTTCATTGCTTTTGGGAAAAATACTTCTAGTTGCATGACTGCCATGGGTTTCATTGGTATGTATTGATCCAAAGGTCTAATGCCTTTAGAATGGTCACTCATGAGAATTTTTCTGAGCATTCAGACAACATGCTGATTGCATTGTGTTGGTTTTTGGAAAGATCTGTAATGATCTACGACCTTCTAAGCCCGCTAATCTTATCCGCTTGTATATAGTTACGTACAATGGGAAGATGAAATTCACTGGCAGATTTGTCTGTCCTTGGTAAGTCCTAGGGTAGTTGTTTAATTCTTTCCCCCTCTTCATTTGGAACTTATCTAGTATGTGGCTGAGCAGAAGTTGGGAGCAAGCCTGAACTTGCTTGCGTTTGTTGAACTTATCACTGAAAGTGAGGTTGGCTTGCCATGTGCTTCTGAAAATTTCTTAAGGCTAATATTAGTACTGTTCTTAAAAGAAAAGCAAGTTTCTTTTGAGTATGGACTAATGAGAAAGAATATTTCTATATTCAGCTATTTCTTTTTGTTCACACGTTTAATTAAAAGCTGGTTTGCTTGCTTGCTTCAGCTTAGGTTCATTTGTCATGGCACATTTTCCAGTCAGTGTCATACTGAAAGTTTTTCCAATTCGAAATTCACGGAGTGATGGCTATATCAGTTGGTACAGGTTTTGAGACTATTAGATGCAGGAACATATCCTCCATGTGAGGAAGAGTCCTGAAAGTGATGCATTGCTTTTCTGTACCAGTATTGTCCTGTATTCTTTGGGGCAATGCAGTTATTGATTTCTTTTGGAAAAAAAAATAGCTGCTCTGCCACTCTGAGTTCTTCTGCCTCATTGTTGCAGCTCCTTCCAAAAGAGTGAGAGAAGAAGGATCTTAAAATCATTTTGAAGAGGGTGTGAGAAACATCATCTCTGCAATAAAGTTGAATAATCCCTTCTAAGACTTAGGATGTACAAAACAAATTGCAATTAGTCACGTGCCAAGAGTATATTTGCTTGGAAGAAAAGACCAGATGGATCTCCTTGTATCACTTTTTTTTTTTTTTTTCCTCCATAGCTATCTGCACACTGTTTACTTATTTTTGTAAAACTGATTAGTTGAGTGTCTTCCAAGCAGCTTTATTTTGTATTCCCACTCTAGCAGTCTTCCCGTTTGTATAAATTCATCAAATGGTTTTTTATCTAGGTTACTCTACACTGGAGGATATGAGAGTGTATTATGAACCAATTTTATTTAGGCAAGACCAGATCCTCCTCTCCATCTTCCCTGTTGTTTTTTTGTTTGTTTGTTTTTGATACTTATTTTTGCCGAAGACAGTGGGACAATCTATTCTACACTGCTTCTGAGAGTGAAAGTATGGATGCAGCCTATAAACTAAACTTAGATACTACTGTCTACTTAAATTTCCCTCATGATACAGATATTGATGTGAAAGTAAGTATATAAATGTGTATATATTGCTACATCTTCATATACAATGTTGTGCAACCTTTTTTAAAGTTTGCTATGCCTTATTCTGCAGTTCAAGTTATGGAGGAGAATGCATTCTTTTTCACTGATACTCATTACTTGGAAACAGTGTACTAGTTTGGATGAGGTGTTCCTTGAGTTCCATTTTTCTGTATGCTTTTTGAGGCTAAAACATTGCAACGTGAGAAATGATTTTACTATTTATCCTCTGGCCTGTGATATAAACACTCACCTGTTTGTAGATTTGTTAGTTACTTAAAGCATCATCTGAGAGCAGTTATACCAAAATAAACATAACCCTCCCCCCCGGTGCACTAACACATGGCAGTGAACTTGCTACCTAATGAGCTGTACAGGTAGGCCAGTTTTGTACAATTTCTTTAAAAGGGCTTCAGCTGGAGATGACTGCTGAAAGAAAGAATGACCTTGGCTTCGGCTCCTAGCATTGTTGGCATTTTGTGGTCGAGAATATCTCTGCAGCAAGCAACTTCTTCCTTTCTCAGTCTGCTGTGCACTATGTTGCAAAATGTGCAGCAAAAAGAAATGATGTTCTGCAAATTTGGAAGCAGAGTTTGTTCTACAGTAGATAATCCATTGTGTTCTGGTTTGTAGAGAGATGGATCCAAGTAACTGATAATATGAAGTTGTTTGAGTTGCTGAAGTAACAGAACTGGAGGTGTTCCAGCATAAGGTGTGGGCAGAGCTACTGCATGTAGAAAACAAAGTACTTAGACACAGAAAAGTGTAAGTAAATAAAAGCTGCTTACCTAAGTGACTTTTTGTCATTGCTGAAGGTGGAAAGATTGAAAGAATGATACTGAGTGAAAATCAATGCTAACACCTCAGGGATAAAGACCCTAAACACATCACAAAACCAAGAAAGATGGAAACTGCTGAGATAACCAATTTCAACATCAATTTTGAAATACTTAGATTGAAATGCTAACACTGGAGTGTTTTTTTTTTTTTCATATGTATACTTGAGTACATGTACTTTTTTTTTTTCTTAATGAGTACATGAAGCACTGAGACACAAACAGTTCCTGCCTGACTTTTTTGCTTGCATTAGTCATTTCTGTAGTAGTTACTCCATGCTAAGAATATAGATTCAACTTCTTGACAGAATGTAAAGAATATGTCTTTATATATGTATTTTTCAGGGGTTTAGAGGGGTTACGGGCAGTAGTGTTGAATTTTATGTTTTGTGAAGGGACTTATATTAAAAGCTTGAGGAAATACTGATGCCTGAAGTCTTTAAAGGAAGGATGAAGATTGAGATATGTGCTCTGTTTAGCTCAATCCAAGCATGATTGAATTGAATTGACTTAGGAATCACACAGTGAGAGCTTTCTCCCTAAAAAACTTCTTGTCTTATGAGAGTTTGATATTGGACTGGCCTGTAGAGTTCGCTCTCCAAAGAAGTTTTAGTTGTGTGCCTTTCTTATTGAAGAAAGTATATCACTGTTTGGAACTTTTGTGAACAGAGATCAAAGCTGATAAAGATATAGCCCAAGAACTGAAGCTGAATATATTGGCAAGAATGTAGAGAGTTGTTATAAATAATGAAATTTATGTAAAAATAGTGCTGTGTTTTTATACATATATATATATATATATATATGTATGTGTGTGTGTGTATATATATATATAAATATATGTAATCAACATTTATATATATATATATTTCAGAAAACAATGTAGGTTTGTTCAACTTCTCTTTTTTCTCTTATTGTGCCACACATGCAGACATACATGGTATAAGTGTGAAGATTGTTTTTCCCTGTTTTTTATGTCTTTTTTGAAAGTCTGAATAATGATTTAGTTATTCAAAAGGCATTAGAGAAATATATATGTAGTATCTTCTCTTTCAGCTTGCTGTTTAAGTCTTAAGCTACGCTACTGAAGCTGCTTTTTCTTCTCTGGGTTGCTTAAGGCTAGTACCTGTGTGCCAGGATAGTTGCTACTGTAAGCAGCTTTCCCCAAGGCCAAGTTACTTTGTATACAGGAAAAGACAGGAGAAAAAAAACAACCGTGTTGACCGCTGTTGCCCTTAAACTGGCCCTTGAACATGTGATTTCAGGGTGTTTCAGACACCTTCAGAGTGGTAGCTTCTCTGTCTGCTTTGAGTTGTGTAAATCATGAATTTGGAAATGGCCATGAAAGGATGGAGAGCTGGTGTGAGTGAACTCTGGGGAGTGCGAAAACTGAGTTGGAAAATAATGAGGACACTGTAATGGACACTTGAGGTACTGAAGGTCCCTTCCACGAAGGCCAGAACTTGCCTCTGGCTGTGTGTCTGCCAGTTTGTGACTGAGCAATTTGCTTCCTTACCAAAGCTGAACAGCTAGTAGTTACCTGGTTCTTGTCCTCCCTCATGGCAGTTTTCTGAAGAGCCTGATCCACGAGGTGTATTTTGATTGCCTCCACAGTTTTCTGGCTATGGTTCTTTAAATAATTTAAGCAAATTTTTTCCCTCATAAATTCTCAGAAGTGACTCTCTCTCTGCAAACTCCTGTATTGGTCGATACTTTTCCAGTGGGATTCTCATTTGAAAACAGCTTGAACCCACAGTTCACTAAAAATGCAGTAGTCAGTGATTTTTCCCTTTTCCTGTTGAAAATGTATTTCTACATTAAGGAGTATGTAAGGCTCAGAAGATAAAGTAGTGGCAGTCCCTCTGTTGTTAGTTGGTGCTAACGGGGCAGTGAGAAAGCTCTGGGTTCCAGCTCTGTTCTTAGTCCACTTGTTCTACCCTTTATATCCAAGTTCTGTAGAAGTGTGTGTCTGAAGATAAGTTGTTCATATCTTGAAACCACTAGGATTGTGTTTTAAAATTATTACTTGTGTTAAGACTTTGATTTTCTTTATGCAGTCAATTGTAAAAGGATGGAGAGGTTATGTTATTTAACCTGCTTGAAATTTGCATAGATAAGAAACTTTAAAAAATTACTGTACCAGTGACAAAGAGCCTTTCAGAATTTTATCCAAGATTAATGTGAATTCAAGCCTTTTAATACAGTGATATGTCTCTTTTGTTTGCTTCTAATTTTGTTTTTCTTTTGTGTAGGTTTGCAGTCTTTAAAAAAAACTGAAGTGCTTTGAAGAAGTGTCTCAGAGAAACTGGTGTTTTCTGTTGGCTGACTGATGACAAATTTAAGAGAGCTCTGTTGCTATTAATTATGCATTTATCCTGACTTTTTCTACATGACCGTGAGGGGCAATATTCGGAATGAAGCTGCCATCATGTCATCCACAGGCAGTGGCACTGATATTGAAGAATTTTTGGTCAACATTAACTTGGGACAATATCTTCCTAACTTTAAAGAACATGGATATAACATTGTGACAGACTGTATGGGAATAAATAACAGTGCACTTCAGCAAATGGGAGTATTGCCTACAGGCCATCGCAGAAGGATACTTAAGCAGTTAGACACTGCTCTTTCAAAAATGCAAGGAAATTCTCTTTCCTGTGACAGTTTAAAACGCAAAGAGTTGAAAGGTTTAGAAAGGAAACAATGTTTATTTTCAGACAAGGATTCCCCAATAAGCCATTTAGAAGTAAATGAATCTGGCTTGATACCTGCAATATCATTGGTACAACTTCCTAACAAAGCTTACACTGGTAAAGAAAGATTCAGAGCTGGAGAGCAAAACCTATTGGAAGGGAATGATGAAAACTTTCCAAACTCAGATTTTTCTAGTTTATACCAGAATTCAGACAGTGTACTAAAAGCTGCAAGTGGAAGTATGAAGATGAATACCGAGTCAAATACATTGCTGGACAAAGCTGCTGCATACCAGACTGATGAGCACTTGGCTGACTGTGTAGCATTTTGTGATCCTCTTTCACTCACTCATTCGTATGAAACAAAATACAAGGAAAACAAACATCAGATGTTTGCAGTTGAGGAGGATCTATCTGATAGTGAGACACATTCACCGTTTGTGAAGTTTAAAGGAGAAATGATAGACAATGACTTATATGATTCTTGTACGCAGAACAGTGTGAAAGTATTTCCAAGAACAAGCCGATCTTTTATTTTAAGGCATCGACCAGTACCAGAAATCCCTGAATCAAGCAAAGTTGAAACTTCATTGAGGTAACTGCTGTTTCTTTTTAATGATGAATTGTTATCCTCAGAGAACTTATGGGATGGTTTTGAGAGGAAGAGTAGGCGTGAGGTGCCTTTTTGTGGATTTTTTTTTTTTTTTTTGTGTGTGTGTGCTGTAAATATAGTGGGTCTGGAATGAATAATGCCATGTTATCCAAAGAAGGATTAAGCTTCAATGCAAGTTAAAAGTGCAGAAGGGAATATATGGAAACTTTAGAATTATGCGCATTATAATCTCTGTGATCATCTGTGTGATCTGTGTGATCATCTACTTATTTCCAAAGAAATGAATCCTATTGCTTTAGAAATAACCCAGGTTAAGAACAACTATATCAGGCATTTGGTAGACTAAACCTATATGCTCTTAACCATCTATATTCTCTTAGATAAATACGGCCTGCTATATAAATATAGCATTTCTATATCCAAGATATAGATGAGAAAGAATGAAAATATGCAAATGTTACAAAAATTATACTGAAAAAAACGAAAGCTGTTGAATGTATTCTGAATCAAAATGTTACAATTAATTAGACACTAGCCCCAGTATCAAATGAAATCCTGATTCATAGCGGAGAAAATGGTCACAAAATAGTAAATTCATGAAGACAATCAATCATCCTAGGAAGATCTGTTTCTATTAGCGAAACAGCAGTTAAAATTGTGAAACACAGATAATCTTGTTACTTTTTAGAACCTATTAAAAGCACATCTTCAGGAAAACATTGTCCTTTGAAAATAAAAACTTATAGGAAAATGGGTTACATTATTTAAAAATGTATAGGAATTTTTACACAACTACATGTATTAATGTACTTCTATCTGAAAAATGAGGCAAAATTTAGGAGAGCCACCTTGTCTATTTCATGCATTGTATGGTGTAGCCACCTGGAAAGAATGTATCTGTGTGAAGCAGTAGTTATTTGGTGGATTGCACATGTGAACACGGGAAGATGATTTTAAATCTTAGCCTTAAAGCACAAAACTGCACTAGATTTTACGTTGTTCTAAAATAGAATAAAATACTTAACAGTTGAATAAATTGTTTTATACTGTGTATCTAAAGCAAACCATAATGTCTCTTAGACTGATTTCTAAACTCCTCATCATTTAACTGTTAATTCAGAGTATGAATACAACGGGTTTGTGATGTTAGTTGTTGGCTTCTGCTGGTATTTGCATACCAACAAAGCTTGGCTTTTAATGATGCTTGCAGTATAATTTTTATTTATTTATTTCAGGAATTCCAGTAGGAAGAAGTAGGGGAGGGGTGGGGAAAGGAAAACATTCCACTTTCTGGTTTCAAAATATTCCCATGATGTGTGTGTACATTTTTATTCCTTTAGAATGCTACTCAGTGGCATTTACTGTCTTGAATAAACTTTTGTTACTTCTTTTGCAAAGAGGTGGTGAAATGTAAAAGTAAAGATCTGACATTAGAAGTTAACTCTGTTAATAAGTCTCTCATAATAACTATGAATATTAAAAATAGGAGACAATGAATGAGCAGTTGACCATGATATTATGAGCTGTATTCACAGCATCTTAGAGAGAAGAAAAATTCATGCAAAAACATATGCAAAATTTTGTTACTGTAGACATATCCAAATCATGAGGTTGCACTTTTTTAGCCACTTTTTTTTTTTTTCCCAAGCCACTAACTATGCCTGGAAGGGACATGTCTGAGAATGTTTTGTATTTATCTTGTCTTTTTCATCAGCATATCTTAGCAGTTCGAAACATCATTAGCAAGTTTACACATGCCTTAAGTGCAGAGTTTTCCCAAGCATTTATAAGTTTCTTTCAGATTGTTGAAAGATGTTAATGCTAAATAGTGGAGTACAATTGTTTGAACAGATGGGGAGGCAAAGATTTTTTGCAACAAGTAAGAGATCTTTGTGTTCCTCAATATTTTTTTTTTATCTCTGCCTTCTGAAACATCAAGTTGTGTTTACTGAAATGGAAGTATAAACATTTTTCAATGGGGAGTGCCTTGATGTTAACTTTTATGGAGCAAAGCTATTCTGGCTGAGCTGAAATGGGAACCGAGTGCAGAAAAAGACAATAATAAGTAGCTTTTGAAAGAATATTCTTATGTCTTCTGAGAAAGAATCAGCCAGTAGAAAGAATATACTGTGTTTATAGTATTCCTGCCATCAAAGTAAATCCTCCAAATTCTGATCTCTTAGTGACTGATGTTTGGATGGGTCACCAACTTCATTACCCACCATCCTGATTTGTGAACTTGAGTTTATGTTCTTTGTCTTTATGCTCATTTATAACAATGTAAAAATGCTGAAGGACAAGTAGCAAGTCTGTCTGAGGAAGATCAAGGGTAAACCAGAATTTCAAAACAGAACTTAAAAAACATTCTTGATTAATTCTGTTGGGTACTTTTTCCTTTTTTTTTTTTTTTTTTTTTCTTTTTTGGTTTTTTAGAGGCAAGAAATTAGTAAAGAACTTTCAAGTAGTAGCTTGCAGCATCTTTAACCTCAGGAAAGATCGTATCTGTCTTATAGAATTGCATAAAGAAGTATTCTCAACTGACTTCTGTTGATGGATGCTGGTTTTCTTATAATTACATTGTGTGAAGGCTTTTCCCATACAGGCAGAGAATTCCAGCTGAAATCTACTGGGAAACCTAGCATCGTCTTCTGGTCATGCATGGATATTAGTCATTAAATTTTTATGCAAGGAAATGCTTTTCTCATGATCTCTTGTGTGCCTTCTGGCACACCAAGTTGGTACAGTAGGTCTCCTTGCAGCACTTAGTAGTGCTGTGACTGTATAACTTTTTATTACTAATAATGTACCTGCCTCTCCTGCAATCTTAGCTGCTCTCCTGTGCTATGCTTTTGCTTCTGGCTCTTGCCTGTAAAAAAACATGTCAACTGGTAAGTCACCATGACGTTTTGGAAGTGGAACTCAAGATAGTTACAAATGTGCAATAAAACTCTGAGCCTCTGCATTTTGTATTTAAGTCACTAGTTTGAATTTGCTAACATGCATTCCCACTAATGTTGTGGGATTGGACAGAGTGGGCTGAAAGTTCTGGGTCTCTTGATTCCTTTGGCAATTTCTTCCATGCGAGTTAAAATCTGGTGTCTGTAAGACATAGTGAAGGTAGTGCAATGGATGGAGCTAACCACATACATGCCTGCAGCCATGATTAAAGATAGTACGTACAGAGATAGATTTGAAGGTTCTGCATGCCTAGGACAGTGTCCTCTAGCAGGCACTGATGAATGAGATAACTGCAGTTGCGTTCGTTGGAGCTGCAGTGCTGTTAGTGGAAGACCTGAAAGCAGATTTATAACATGGTAGAACTGGTTGTGACACCGAGTGAGTGCCACACAGGTTATGTTGGAGACCGACATACTCCATCTATGTGTGGATTTCTAGACATCCTCCAACTTAGTGACTTGTATTGCTCAGTGATGGAACTGTGTAGATTCCTCATTAAAAGAAAGAAGAAATAAACCAAAAGTAACTACAGAAAAGTTGCTGCACTGGCAGTGAACAAAGGTGCTTGGCCTTAAACCAAGCTGTCCATTGACAGCAACTTCCATGGTGGACACGTAGCAGGGCTGGCATTCTATAAACTATTTCTAACATTAAAGGAATTAGAATTGCTAATGAAGTTCCCAGCCTGGTTCTCTCTCTTTCTGCTCCATATTCTTCCACACAGGACAATTTTTAGGTAGTAGAAATGGATCTCGCTCTTCCTACAGCCAAGCACCTCCATTAATTTGCTTATACAAGCAGCCTATGAATCCCAGAGCTCCGGAGTACTTTGGACATATTTGGTTTATGGGAGGACTAGAATTGGAGCTGACTAGCAAACCTGTTTTGAATGAGTCAGAAAACAAAAGTTTCATTCACTTAAAACACAACAGATTCATGCCAGTAAGGGCTCTGAAGCACTGGCTGCTTGCGATGAGCTCTCTCCCTTGCATCACTGGTGAGATGGCAGGTGGAGAGAGAATAGAACAGCTCTGCTCTGCCCACCACTAAGCTCTCACTTTTCCAGTCTCTCTCATTGTTTATCAAGTTGCTGCCTCATCACGCCATTTCATCCTGTTTGTGCACGAGGAAAGAGAGGCGGGGAGGAGTATGCAGCTTGAGCCACATCCTGTGTCTCTTGAAAATAATGGGCCTTAATTTTTAAAGTTACCAAAAAACAAAACAAAACAAAACAAAAAAAAAAAAAAAAGGAAATGTGATGGAAATTGTTATTTTATCTTTGTATTATTGGAACTTTTTGATTTGAAAAACATTAGACCATTTGCAATTTTGGAAATGGTTAAGAAGAGAGACATATTTAGATAGACACCAGTGATTTTGATGTGGATGAATTGTTTAGGGGTGAGGGGAAAGGGGAACATCTTATTTGCCCCCAGTAAGTCTTTTATATTTTTTTGTCATTCAGTTCAGGAGTTAATTTTGTACAGTAACTGAGCATTGATATATTCTAATTTTATATCCTGCACTGTATGGTGTTGTTTTTGTTTTTGTTTTTTTGTAATGTAATCCCTCAAATAGTCAAACTAAGCTGTTCCATTTATTTATGGAGATGGTTTTTATTTGACATAAGGTAGAATATCATTTTCCAAAAATTCCCCCCAAATTTACTTTACATTGCGTGTAAAAATGCTACAATTTGCTTTCTAGCAGATTTTCTTGCCATGTATGGATTCATACATGAAAGTATGTAGAAATTAAAAAAAAATGCAGGTCTTTATAAGTTGATTTATTTCTTATTTTCTGGTGAGTTTATCTGTATTACTTTTTACTCATTACTATTACAATTACCTACTTCTAAATCCTTCCACTCTGAAACTAAGCCATTGACTTGACTGCTTTACATAAAGAAGAAACTGATCATTCTAAAAGCTCTTCAAGTCAAACCTGTTTACTGTTTCTCTTGAATTCATGTTAATGCTAGTTAATACTATTAAAAATGTTAAAAAAATAAAAAACTTAACAACAAACAAATGCTGTTTATGTTGAAAAATGCTAGTTTTGGCTCTCTTGTAAACATACCAGGTAAGTTCAAATGCATCAAATACATGATTGCTGTGTAATTTCAAAAAGATGTAGCTGCGTCAGATTTAGTGAACTACTTGAATAGATGCGAGGTATTGTGTATTTTTCTTTTTTTTTTTCTCTCTTCCTAATTATAATTTATAGAATAAGTAGTTATTTAGCATGGAGTTAGGTTGTAATTTACTTTAACTGGGCCAAACCCATTCTGTGTTTTCTAAAGCAAGAATTTTACGCAACATCATCTGGAAGCATAAGTGGTATAACAAGGATAACATGAAATAACAAATAACTTTATAAAGTACTGCTTCTATGTTGAATTTAATACACTATCTGTTTTATGAGGGCAGATTTAGGCACGGATTGGAAAGAATGCAGTATGGAAATACGTGAATGTATGCCTTCTGTCATAGAGAAACGCCAGCCTGTATTATGAAACAATTCAACGTGGACTTTATGAGTCAGTATTTCTAAAATCTGAAGTATAGCTAGTCGTAAAAGAACATTTCTCAATATGTCTAGTGGGGAAATGAAAATCAGATATATTGATATTTTTATTAAAACATACTTATCTTTGGATTTGAAGGGCAGAAGACCCCCAAACTCTTAATAGAAACTGCAGCAATCTTGCATACAATCTTATGTATCATTTATCAATCAGTGGGTATTCTGTAAGGATGCACAAGGGTCAATATCACTGTTACTTCAAGCAGAGAAAATAAAATAGAGAGATTGCTAGTTACTCACGTTAACAAGGGTGATATCAGAGCGGTCTGCTGCTGCACTGAAGATAGGTCAGAAATGTATTACTTCAGGCATGTTTTTTACTGTTCAGTTATTCCAAAGTTGCCTGAAATATCAGTAGTAAAGACAAAAATGTGATCTTAACTGGCATATGCCACTGTACGAGAAGTTTCCAAAATACATAGGGACCAGCACAACACCAATAATAAAATTATTTTTTCGTGTGTGTATGTATATACATGTCCTTGTCTATCTGTAAAATGCATCATGGCAGTTGCATGCACATGCAAAGCAATTTCAGTTATGTTACAGATTGAAAATTTACTGGGGAAAAAATCCTCACTAAGAATTAAACATTTTCAGCATTATTTCTTTCCACTGGATCTGGATTTTCATACCTAGACTCACTATATGCTTCACATTTGAAGACTGTCTTTGGAAGTGTAGTTTTGAATGCATTCACTGTATATGAAGTAGAAGGAGAAAGTAGTTCCTCACACTTCCCTAAAGTCTAAATAAATATTAAGACCAATTAAAAAATAAAAATATTCTGAAGATACCTACTCAGATCAGTGAAGTATTGTGTCATAAAGGGAGGAAAGCAAGTGGTTGGGTAGTATTTAAATTCAATCAGGAGACTTTCCCAAAACTTAGAATTGGCTATTTTTATGTTTGTATGTATTCTTAATGACTTGTTTAATCGCATAATATGCTTTTGTTCAATTTCTGGGATGTTTCACTTAATGTTTTCATTTTGTACTATATTTTGTTCAAGTTCCCTTAAGAAAAGAAGAAACGTGGACGTTACAGACATATCTTGTGCTGGGAGGAAAGTTTCACAAAAAAGTGAGTCAAGCATGCTGGTACTTCTATCTTGAATCTTCAGAGAAAGGAAACCTTAAATCAGAAGCTGAAATCTAAAATTGACTTGCTCATTTAAAGAAATACCAGGCTTCTGGAACGCCTAAAAAAAGTGATGCATAAAATAGCAGAGCATGTAACCACTTCTCCTTTTTCACTTCGTTTTTATTTGTGAAAAAGTAAATAATTTTTAAAAATAATTAATTAAAAAAATAAAAATTTGAAAATCCAGATTTTGAACTTTAGTTATTTTAACATGACTGTTTTTGATTATGATACATTGAGTTTCTAAGATGGGATGCAGATTGTTAAAAGCAGAATCAGCTTTTTCTCGAAAGCTTTAAGCAGAGTACTTCTGACTAATGTTAGTGAGAATGGTACTCCCGGAAATAACAGGAAATTAATTGTGTTAAATAGTTTACTGGAAGAAGTTAGCAGTGTGAGTTGCACATAAAAAAACCAAAACAAAACCAAAAAAAAAACCAGTTTTTAGACTCCAGAAGTATGTCTTGTTTGAAATTATGCGTATCAGTTTCAAGCAGATGGTTGGTGATGGAATGTAAACTGAGTAAAAATGAAATGGTTTTATTTGTTTAGTTTTATGGATTTTGTTTTTTAAAGTTGGAATCAAGTTTGCAATTACTGCTCCTGAGAGAGTACAACAAAAGTTGTTTTTTTTTTTTTTTTTTTTTTTAATTTGATAGCCTGTATGCAAGCTCTGTCTAAATTATATGCTAGGAAGAAGATGCAGTAAATTGAGTGAAAATAATAAAGGGTATTATCTGAAAAAAATTAACTAGAGCTCAGTTTGAAATGGGGAAATTCTTGTTTTTCAATTTTTACTTTGATTTTTCTTTTTTTCCTGAGGAGAAAAGAAAAATCAGAAGTAGAAAAACCTGTATCTTTTGTGATTTTTTTTTATCAGTATCTTCTTGAACATGGCAGTGTATGATGCTATATTTTTTTGCTTTAAGAAACTTTCTCGGAAGAAAAGCCACCTGTCATATCACCTTATGGAGAAACCTTTTTTTGGGACAACCTTAAAGATGCTAAAGTAAGTTGATAAGTCTGTATACAAATGGTTCATCTTCTCTTTAATTTCATGCTATGTACTGAATACAGCCCTTAATTCTTTTTTTGCTCTCCTGTTTCATTTCTCAGTACCTTTTACGTCTTCTTTAGTGCATGCAGAAGCTTTATATTTGTGAGCAGGCAACTCAGCACCACACAGCTGCTCATTCTCTTTCCCTTGATGGGATGGAGATAAGAAATGGAAAGGTAAAAGTGAAAGAACTGATGGACAATTTATTAGGTAAAGCAAAAGATGTGTGCGAGAAAAGCAAAACAAAGGAATTCATTGAATAATTTCCATTCACAGGCAGATGTTCAGCCACTTTCAGGAAAGCAAGTCTCATCACATGTAATGTTTTCTTTTGGGAAGGTACATACCACTACTCTGAACTTCTCCCTCTTTCTTTCCACTTACCCTCAGTGTTATTATTCAGCATGACAATCTATTGTATATCTCAGATGGAATATGCCTTCGGACATCTTGGATTGGGTATTTTGTCCCCTCCCAGCTTCTTGCTCAACCGAAACCTACTAGAATGGAACATTCCTTGTCTTAATTTAGCACTGTTCTGCAACAACTTTAAAGCATCAATGTTTCCACCACTATTTTCATTAAAAAATCTAAAACACAGCATGATAGGAGTCAGTATGAAGAAAATTAACTCTATTCCAGTAAAAACCATCACAACAGTATACATATGTATGGACTAATGACTTTATCTTGAAATACACTTTGTAGTGTTCAATAGTAATACAAACTTGTGGCCATTCTTTGTTGTTGTTTTTTTTTTGTTTGTTTGTTTGTTTTTGTTTCTCTTGAAAACAGGTGAGTATCTCTTTTCTGCTCAGAGCTAGATGCTATCGTATTGAATGAAAAACAGTCAGTTACAGATAGCTGCAGGCTACCTTAACAGCTTTCTTGTACCTTCTTAACTACAGTATCATAGTACTTTGTGCCTAAGTGAGGTTAAGTAAAGGATAACCATTGGAGCTGACTAGTAATGGTAGAAGTGGGTTTTCTCTTTTCTGATAATGCCGTATCAAGACTGAGCATCTCTGCACAGACTCACAGAAAGTGTATGAAAGTAGCTTATATGCTAACTGAGGTGATATAATAGTCACTTGTGGTCATATGCTTTTTATTAGTTCATATATATGAACGTTCTGAAGACTTCTATTATTTTTTTTACACAACCACAAACTTGCTGTACATCACTTTTGTGGCAAGATTCTCTGAAGTAAACATTTTTGTTGAGGTCAGTAGTTGAACAGTTGGTACTATATATGGAATGTGCACAGACGTCTGAGTCACATGGTGTTCTGGGAGGTTAACTAGCTTAGTAAGGCATCCAACAGATGCTGTGAATCTCTCCCTACTAGTGCTTCTGACTCAGAAATTGTTGCTTCTTTTTTTACTTATCCGTTTCAGCTGATCTCAAGCCACTGACTTGAGGAAAACTGTAGATAATTATTTTCTGTCTTGGTCTTCATGCTGATGTTTCTCTTTTTCAACTGTTGTAAACTATTGACTAAATTGAGCATTGAAATCAAACCGTTCAAATTCCATCATGTAATGAGAGGCTTTTTAAAAGCATAAAAATGATCTTTAGTTTTGATGTGTACTTTCTTTTCTTTGGAATTTTGTTGTGTGAGTTTTTAGTTTTTCATTGTTCGCTTTTTAAGGAGGTGGGCATAAATTCATGGCTTTTCCTTCTAATTCTTGTTATGTGCAGAAAAGTTACTTCTAAGCTTTTGTTTTCTATTGCATAGCCTTGTCTATGCCAGTTATTAAAATGTCTTTTACAAATTCAAATTTGAACTTCTTTGTAATTAATTTAATTGCATGAGCAGTTTTTCTAGAAAAGTTTTCTAGCCTTGTTATTTCTTAGCTTTTTTTTTTTTTCTTGAAATAGTTGGTTATAATAAAGCATATCTGGGAAGATTGTCTGCAATTTTTCTTCCAAAGGCAGCAAATATTAAAAGGAATCAGCAACAAAAAAAGACAAAAAAAAAAAAAAACTGTGCTGTTTATCTAGATTAACAGCTCAAAATAGAATTGCTATTTCTGCTGGTTGTAGAATCTCAATTAATGCAGTGTATTATAATGTACTTTCTCTGATCTGAAGATTTGGATTTTAATTATCATTTTCACGTAAGTGAACAGGTTTTTTTTGAGTTACACTTACCACATGCTAGTTGGAAACTTCATAGTTGATTTTGCTTCCATTAGAACATAATTGCAGACTAAGGTCATACAGCAAAGTTGTTAAGCAAAAGTCCAAAGATATGTTTAATTTGCAGCTATTTTTCCAGTAAGTATCACATATCCTAGGAACAAAGTTTAGCCAACCCTGCAAAGTATCTGAGATTTTAGTAATTGTTGCTTCATTTTTTAAAAAAACAACTTTGCATGAGAATGTAGTTCATCTGTATTTAAGAAGACAGCAAGTTGTTATAATGACCAAAGGAAGCCTGTTCTAAGTGGTTAGAAGTTGACCATTAACTTTCTTCTCCTTTTATTGGTGTAACTAAAGAAAGGCTTCTATAGACTTTATAAGGGGAGTGTCTGTAGAAACAAGCAGTGAGTCACAGCAGACTAGAGATAAGTGAGCATGAGAGAACAGTGAATTAAGGACAGAAAGAAAGTTCAGTTAGACTTAAGTGAGGAAGAAAGGCAGCTAGAAGCAGAAACCCCTAAAGGGCAACCTGCAGAAGGAACATTTTTCTTTAATATTAATTAAAGAAAAGCACAAAAATCCTAACACTTTACAGCTGACATACTATTCTGTTCGAGTAAAGAGTGAAGTATATCAGAAATCACTTTTTCAGTGAAGGAATTCTAAGTTCTTAAGTTTGGTTTCATTTCCTGCTGTAAATTCTTAGACTAGGTTAAGCACGCATATTGAGATAAATAATCCATGTGAGCTCTTAAGCATTGTGATACTGTGGAATGCTGGCTAGATTACAAGTCTTAGAACTTTAAAACAAGGAAGACTTCATATTTGAAAAGGAGGAATTTTTATCATTAAGGCTCTGTTATAAAACTGTATTGCCTTCAGTCGAAGACTAAGGAGCAGGTCTCAAGTAAAAATCGAGAATAAACCACTCAAGTAAATAATGAGTGACATGTAGCATATAACGTGACAGTAGTCCCAATACTCATCTTAGTATTCAGGTTTCCTCACTTTCCATTTTGACTAGCAAAATTGGCTGACAGAAAAACCTTTTAAACAATAATGCATCTGAATTACTTCCTGATCAAAAAAGGTTTATACAGAGCTGCCAGCAGGCAGTTCCATCTGCCTGCCACCTAGAAGCCTGGTATCTTCCTTAAGCGTGGGTGCTTCCTATGCAATCTTTTAAGAAATACTTGTTTCTACAGGGGCAACTGCAGGAGAAAAGACTCCCTACCTTTTCGTAATATCTTGGAGTTATAGGAGGTGGGAGATAACAGTTCTGTCTCATTTTGAGTTTGAGCATCTTGCAGAATAATCCTGTAACCAACACATGGGTTTTCTTCTTTAATTTGTGTGCAGTCTGTGTTTTTTGTGAGTGAACAGTACTGTCTGTCCCCCCCAACCTTTCTTCATTTCTGGATTTCCATATTTTAAACTCTTCTGGAAATATAAATATATTTGTCGATATCTCTCGTAAGTTCTCAGGCCCCCCTCAGTTCACTTGGCCAAGTACTGAAGTACTTGTCTCTTGGTTATTTGTATAAGTGGGATGCTGCCACTTCCCCTTGTTTTATGAGACAGATTTTAAGCACTTCACGGGCAGTACATAAGGTGCTTTTGAGTTTTCTGTTTCAGTTGTTAACATGATGTAGGAATGTGGGGGGTTATTTATTTATTTATTTATTGTCTAATCTGTGGTGCTACAATGCAGTTAACAGTGTGGGGTATGTGGTGGTGGGGTTTCTTGTTCATAATGTATATGACTGGCAGAGAAAGGCAAAGTGTTCACCAAAGGTTGTCCTATCAGCAGCCAGTGATTGCCTCAGTTTTTGCTGTAGTGTACATACACATACTCAGTTTTTATAATCTTATCATTTCATGTTGCATAGGTGAAATCATCAAACATAGGATGAGATACTGCTTCTCAGAAAACAAACAGCAACAGTTGTGAAAGCTTACCCAATTTTTTTCTGTGCTCTTCGGCTTTATGACACACACTTCAAAGCTTAAATGAGTAAATTAAAACGTTTCTATCATGAAGCAGGAAGCAATTCATTTTAAGTTTTCTTTTTTTCTTTTTTTTTTTTTTTTTTCTTTTTAAAGGAAGAAAGATGTTGAGAAGATTAGTAATACAGTATGATTGTCAGATCAAGTTTAGGAAGTGTGAAGTAGGAAGTGTGATGTGTAATGTTCTTAAGCAATGTTAACCTTGATATTTTGTACAGTACAAATAATGTGTCATAAAGATTTCTAAACAAACATGAATAAACATATCTTTTAGAAAGAAGGCTGGCAAGAAGATGCTAGATATGTTCAATATGACTGAGTTCAGCTTTAACGTAGGAATGTAAATTTGCCTGTATTTTGTCTTTGATCTACTGTAAACACTGTATATTCAATTTAGAGAAGTATTAACATGAAAGATAGACTACGAGTAGCAAATCATAAATGGTATACTTATCATGCACTCAACATGTGGCTCTTGAGCTTAGAAAATACTCAGCTGTTATTCAGGAACAACTAAGGTACAAATATTTCTATGCACTGAGGTTCTTTAACTTTTTTGTTTTTTTAGTATTTTGGACTATGCTCAAATATATTTATCTGAATTAAAATGGAGATATTGAAAATAAAATACTTTTGGAATGTGTTTTTTCAGATCCGTGTTACATGAAAATTTGGAAAAGGATAACTTTGCCACTTGGTCTGCTGGTGTGATTTATGTCTAGAATAATTTAAACATTATTTACTGTTTCACTACACACGTTTGTTATGGCTTATTTCTTTTCTAGGAACGTCATAGGAATGAATTCCTGGCTTGTGAAAATAAATCAGATTTGGAAATGTCTGAAGAATATTCTTCTAACAGGAATATATGGTATTAAATAGGAGTTATCAAAAAAATTAAAGAGTTTTAAATTTAGAGTTATTTACTGATGTAATAAGTAGAGCTCTAACTCTGACAAACCAAGAGACTGCATGTATCTTGTTATCTATTTACTTAACTTCTGCTATTTTAGCTTTCACCTCATGCCATAGGTGACTATCCTAAGATTGTCTAATCTAAGCTTCAGAATCTTTTGTGAATTTGGGAGATGTCTTATTACTTATCCCTCAGTCAGAACATCTGGAATATAAAATTTGGCTTCCTTGTCTTCTAGATAACAGTGTCAGAGTACTTTCATGCTCTGCCTATTTAAAAAATTCCCAAAACATTCTTGAGTACTCTCATAAGGCAAGGGCCAATGGTTTTTACTAAATGGGAGCTCACATGTCCTTTCAGACTGTCTGCAATTGGCTTCTATCAGAGTGAGAGAGACAGAAGAAAGAGATGATATTGCAAGTCCTCCAAAATTTCAGAATGAATAAAGCTAGTCTTCTGAGGAAGGAGAATTCATTTTAAAATTCTGTATAATTCTACCTTCCAAAGGAACCTGTTGACAAAGAAGTATTCTGTTATGGTTGTAGTTAAAGGATATATATTACATTTAACATCAATCTGTGGTTATCACAAAGGTGAAATTTTATTTACAGTATGTCTTAACATTTGTTCTATGTAATGCTTTATTGTTTATTGTAGAAATAAATGAAGAATAAAGTTATTTTTACTTTGCAGTTCCCTTAATAATCAAGATGAGAAGACAAAGGAATGTGTGAAAAATGAATCTTTGTCTCAGGAAAACAAATCATTACCTCCAGAAGACTTGGAAAGCGAACCTGTATATTCTATTGTGGATCAGTGTTCTTTTTCTTCCAAGAAAAATGAAAATAAAACCAATACCCACTCATCATCCTGTAAGAACCAATGTGGAGAATCATATTGTCTGGTCAGTGAACAAATGGATTCTCAACAATTTGATGGAGCTCAAACTTCAATTGCAAATGAATCAATAGCACCATATGCTTGCTTTTATGGATCATCAGTAAAGAAGGTTAAAGCAGGATGGCTGGATAAATTATCTCCTCAAGGGTATGATATTTGCAATGATTACTGTATAATTGCAAAGGGGTTTCCATGAGACTCTTTAAGTTACTGCCTATTATTTGTTGTGGAAAGAAGAAGGGAACTACTTTTATTGCAAGATCATAGGTATTTACTTTTTAATTCTCAATTTTTAATGATGTATTACCTCTAAAATTTATTTTGGAAGTATGTTCAGGAAATAAATATTAAAAATTTTGATGTCTACTCATGAAAATACAGAATTTGTGGTAATATTTTCAATCTACAAATTTTTGATAATTCTCTGTTGACCACAAAGTAAGTGAAAACAAATTCTGATTCTGAAATACTGTTTTACCAATTTATCCATTATTTTGTTGACTGGAGATCTTATTGATTTTAGAGTTATGTATTCTCATAGGAAGAGAAGTTGATATTTGAGGTTAGAAATCTACAGTGATGCATACAGACTAATTTAGTTTACTGATGTGCCTAAATTTTGGTGGGAGGAATATGAATGCAAGCATTCCTCTGAAATTTTAAGTAGTGATGGATATAGAATAGAATACAATAGGCTAATGTAATCTCATATTTAATTGCTCTTATTGTTCAAAATTTAATTTAACCTTTAAATTCCAGTCTTTGATTCTTTTACGCTGAAGAGCCCTGTTATATTCCTTTCATAAATACTTGTAAACACTGATGACATTCTTTTAACCTCGTGCTTAATTGAATAGACCAAAGAAGCTTCAGTAGTTTCTGCTTCTGTAATTATTCTGATTTTCTGTCTCCTCTTTGCATTTTTAAGATTGGCATAATTTTATTTCTGCTTCTGATTTTCACTAGCAGCTAGAAATCTAGTTTGTTGTCCTTTAGTGCTATGATGCATTTCTTTTATCTGTACTCGTCCTCAAACCTTACCAGTTCTACTTTCTTTCTTCCTAAGACTAAAGGCTTAGCTGCATGGGAGAGGTGATTTCATTTTGGGCTTTTCTTTCATTATTTTTGGGGACAATAACTGTAAGCTGTTACAGCAATTATATTTTTTTTTTCCTGTTTATTGACAAAAGGTATTGAATTATATTGCTTGAGAATACATTTTGGTTTGTGTCCACTGAAGGAAGTTCTATCAAAGGAATTTCTGGTTGATTATTTATTTATTTATTTATTTATTGTCTGTTTGTGATATACTGTTGAATCTTAATGACAAAAAGGAATACATATGGCTTGATAAACCTATTTTGCCATACTGGAATTCCAGCCTGCTCAGACCTTGTTGTTTTTCTTTGTTTGTTGCTGTTTTGTTATTGTGTTGTTTTCTATAAAATTTTGGAAGTTTCATTAACTTTTAAGGATTGTGCTTAAGTATTTTAATAAAGAATCAAAGAATAATTGCACATAGATTCAAAAGACTTTTCCGCATTACAAGACAATTATCTTTATTTTTTTTTTTTTTTTTTTTTTTTCAGAATTGATAATATATTCTCAGAAGATTTGCAGCTAGCTCTAATTTTTGTTTAATTTCACATGCTTTTCCACACCTCAACTTTGGCAATAGTTATTAGAGGGATATAAATACAGTTATGGACTCCAGTTGCTGGTGCAATTTGAAGGAATAGGGTTTGGAACAGAATATGAAAGCTTTAGCCAAAGTACTGTGTGAGGCTACATTATTTTGAAAAAGATATTGAGTTAACCACAAAATTAATACTAGGTAGCATTGTGTAATACAGTTGCAGGGTCATTAGCTTCAAGCTAGCAATGCTTTTTGGATAAATTTCAAGGACTTGTTCTCAGATATCATTTAATGAATGCAGTTGTTTGTTTTTTTTTTCTCTTTTTCTTAAATTTCATGCAGGGCCATTTCTCAAATACCTGAAGACTTAAAGAAAGCAACCAAGGGGAGGGGGAGCTAACAGTGATTTCTTCTTCCCTTTAAGCCTTGCCATATTTTATTTCAATCCCTACCAACAATGTTTCTTTGCTTTATTTCTCCTCCCCCACCTGCTCCCTTCTTACTTTTTATAATGCTTCTATTTACACCTGGCATTTTGTCCCCTCATGAAAATGAAGATGTACAATTTTCTCAAATTATTGCAAATTGGGTGTTTAAAGTACAGCTTCTAGTTTTCATGAAGTCACTATAATTGTAAAGCCATTCAGTTCATTTACGTGATATTGGGCACTTAGGTTTGCATATCCTTCTCTGTATCAACCTGTATCAACTCAAAGTTCACTGACATTACAGTAGAGAAGAGGTTTTCTGTTGGCCTTTCCAGGTTATGAAAAATGATTTATTGTACTTACATTATGTAAATTAATTAAGCCAGAGCTGGTATATGATGAAAGTTTTGGTAAGCTACCATAGTCTTCTAATCACATCCTTTAATAGGAGAAGAAATAATACTGGGAAAAGAGTGGGCTCTTGTTCCTCCTCAATAAATTGCTTATTGGATTTTAGAATTGAAATTTTCATCGATGATAAGTTATAGTCAACATTTTTAAAGAACATACTGGACTGCTTCAGGTTTATGTTACACAACTTTCAAAGGAGGTTCTCATACAGCATGAATTAACAGGAAGCTGACATAATCCAATGAGCTTCTTGTCAGTTATCTCTAGTTGATAACAGAAATTGAAAAGAAATTTCTCTGTTGTACTTGTTGAATGATTTGGTGTGACTGTTATTTATTCACTGGTCAGGGAAGAGAGTGTTGGGGAAAGGTTAATGAATGAAGGTGTCATAGGGTGTAAACAGAGATGTCTGTCTTATGAACCTGTAAATGAGATGGTCGTTTTAGATTCTCACCTTTCCTTTTTTGGAAGTGATGTTACAGATCTTGTAACATTTTAAGGTATGCTCTATATAAAGAATATTCCTTTGTCTCCAATAAAAATAGCCTGTTCTCATCCTTTACCTGTTAGGTCAAAGCAAAATTACATTATTGAAAGCTCTTTTTTCCTTTGTCACTTCAAATATGGTAAAGGAACATGAGAATGCGGAAAAGAAAGAGAGGGGAAGCTTGATTGATGAAAACATGAAGGCACTGATTTATAACTGAACTCCATTAATTCTGTACTTCTTATCTCCAGATATTTTTATTATATTTAAAATCAATGTTCTAATCTTCAAAGGGGCTAATTTTAATTTCCAGAAAGTTCAGGCCCAAACACAGGAAGCAAAATCTGATTTGACCTTTTGAGACATTCTTAAAAGCCAGTATAACATGTCATTTTAATTGTATTCATTTTTGATTCACAGCAAACGTATGTTTCAGAAGCGCTGGGTTAAATTTGATGGAGACAGCATTTCTTATTACAATAATGAAAAGGTAAGTGGCATGTTTGGGTCAGAATGCATGTGTATAATAGACAACATTTAGAAATAACTCCAAATGAACATTTATGTTAAATGTATTATTAATTGCAGAATATTAGAACAAAGCATTATTACAGAACAACAGAATAATGAAAAACTCATTTAAGAGATCAAATGTTGCTTTGGTGATGGCTGCAAACTGTCTTGTCACAGAAACCCAGCATGAGACATACATATATATATATATATATATACATATATATATATATATATATATAAAAAGACATATATATATGTAGAGAGAGAGAGAGAGAGAGAGAAAATTTGGAATGGAAGCCTTGTAAAAACAAAAAATACCCCATGATTCCTATCTATTTTCTTATTACAAATGTCTCTCCTGTGTGACTTTTAGGAATAATCACAAACGGCAGGACTAGTTCCCATTAGAATGGGTCTCTTCAAAATGAGCATAATACTGTGATTCCAGTGGATGTTTTAGTTTTTCTGCACCTAAGGATTGAATTGTCCTGAAACATTTGCAGGCTCATGCATTGCTTTAATTCAAGTAGTTCACTTTTGACAGATGACTGTATGGAAGTTTTGAGTCATGGCCTGAACCACTGCTTGAGCACTGACTGGAGAAAGGACCTGGTCAGTCTTGGGAACATAGGTGAAGGCAATTCACCTGAGTGACTGGAAGGTGTGGAGCCTGGCTGCACCTTTCTTAGACCTCATTTAAGGGCTCACTGCCACTGGGGAAGGATCACTTTCTGGAGATCCCTCCTTGGTGGAGCTTTCCTCTCTGAACCTAAACTCTTCTGATATGGGTGAGCAATCTTCTTCCCTTCCTTTATAGCACCTTTCTATTTTGCAAGTCCTTCTGTCATCACACCTTGTTGTAATGCCTTTCCCATTGTACTGATCTGTCCAATTGCTACGGTGACATAAAAATAGATTTGTAAGTCATCATTTAAAAAAAAAAAAAAAAAAAGAAAAAGTTATTTTTTTAGACCTGTTTTTAAATATTGCTTTCCTTTTATCTTTTTTTCTTATCTATTTAATATAAGTAAGCTGACTTTAAAATTATTTTTCTCTTGTTCTGTAATTAATTTCTTTTGGAAGATATGCAGATCTTGTTAAGCTCAAAAATGTTAGATGATTGCATAATATAGGAATTTTTTGTTGGAAATGAGGCTGTATGCACATGCACTGTTTAAAACACTGGGTAGCTTTTCCTGTTGAAGATGCATATTAAATTAGGAAGAAAATTCAGCTTTGTGTTGTAATTTGGGTTTTGTTATGATAGGTGTTGATAATAAGAATTCCACATTTTTTTATAATGTGCACACGTTGAACTGTTTCAGCAGATTATGAAGAGGGAGAACTGAAGTAGAGAAAGGTTGAGTATATCCTGAGGGGCCAGAGAACAAGAGCAAGAAGTATTTACATTATGCTTCATTATGCCTGCTGATGAGGAACATGAGACAGCCTGTTTTTGCTTGCTTATTTGTCTTCACTTAGTAGACATGATTATGTAGATGAAGAGAATATTTTGATTGGAGGGACAAAATATGTTATCCTCTCTGTGGTATTCATGCCAGAGTTTTAAAGGAACAGAAAAGCAAGGTTAGTGATTAAGAATGGCTTAAATAGCATTGAATTTGCTCAATATCTTCTATCGCGTAATTAGGGAAAGAAATGTTAATTTTAAAAATTTTCAGTCTTGTATCTAAAGTTGAGATTTATTTAAATTGGAGGGTCACTACTAGTTATATGGAAATCACTAGACCAGGGCTTGTTATACGCTTGTTTGTTGCAAGAGATTACAGAAATCATCCCTTCTGCTGAGAGGAATATCCAACATAGCATGGACTGCATGGAAAGTTCCAACACTCCATCCTCTATTTGAAGATATTTGTGATAGTTTGGGCTCAGGGGGCTTGATTTACAGGCTCTTGTATACATTTTTTTTTTTTCATGAGTGAAAAACTGCACTCTTGTGATTGAAAGTGTTACTGCTTGGTGTATGTGCATTCAACTTGTACAAATTTGTACGTCTGGCTTATTAACTTGATGAGTCATATGCTAAAACCTATTATCTGAGAACTGTGAGTCTGGATGTAAATTCTGGAGCTGAGGATCTCATAAAACATTTGGAGGTGTTTATGGATTGGAGGAAAAGACAACTGTTTGCCCATAGTCCTGTGTGCATTGTGGGATTGCATTGGGCAAGCAATGTGCTGTGTGGCTAATCAATGGTGAAATGAGTGGATGATGAGGAAAAGAGACAAAGAAGGCCATATTCCCGAAAATGTGTCCTTAGCTCGCATAAATTCTTCTCTGAATAATTTGAATTTTCTAACTTTTTTCTAAACTTGTTTTAGTTGCTTGTCAACTTAGATCAGTATAGGTCTCTTCCTTTTTTTTTTTTTTTTTTTTTTGAAAGGGCATCTGTCCTGACCTGTTTTGGTTTGAATTGGTGATGGTGCTCATTTCTTCTATTTTCATTGTCCTAAGCAAGTTGATGTGGTGGGAGCAATATCTGCTGTGGTTTCTGTCATAACAGAATGTGGTTAATTAAAGTGAGAGCAAACTGAAGAAAAAAAGACATCACTTCAGAATCCTTTTCAGTTACTCAATTTGCATAGCATTTCTTTCACATTTCTTCCTCCTTTTGGCAGGAGAAGTTTGCTGCTCTAATGTATTTGATAAGGCAAAACTGCTGGCTGTATTGAAAATTTTAACGTAAAAACTTTTTGGGATTCCCTGCAAATATAGTAGTGACTTAGGAAAAAGTCTTTACTTTTTATATGAACAACTTTGTTTTGGTAGGTTATGGTACATGTGAATGTAATGAAGAATTCACTGCAAAGTAGGGCAGTCACTTTTGTTCTTGGAATAGGTCATGTTTTCTCTGTTGTGGAAGGATGTGGGTGGTTTTTTGTTGTTGTTGTTTTGTTTTGTTTTGTTGTTTTCTGTTTCCTTAAATCACCTAGTTTCTTGTCTGGAGTACTGTTTTTATCTGTTGGAGCTTTTAGCATTAGGTGTTGGTTCTTGCATGCGAAAGCAAGCCTGGTATAGAAATAAAACTGAGAAATTCTCATAGTTTAAACTGTATTTCAAAATATATATGCCTGAAGGATGTTTAAAAAGCCAAACTCAAACCATATTAAGCTTAAAAAGAGACAGAATGAAGTAGAATAAAGCAGCTGTAACTTAAAGTTGTCTTAATTATTTTCTTACAGTACCAAATACAACCAGTAGATGCCTGCAAACTCCATAATATAATTGTATCTGAACAGTTTTAGAAATACCATATAGTAAGGTTGCTTTTTCGTTGTGAAGGATCAGTAGTTGACACAGTACCTGCATCTTTTTTAACAGATATGAAATTGCTGTGTTTAAGTCTGCCTTCAAATAAATATAGTCATGATAAAAATGCATGTGCAGTACTGAGTAGATTCTGAATTACAGAGTAGTTCTTGGGTGTAACTAAAGTGACATCTCCTCTGTCTCGATATCTCTTAATAAATCACAGTTTTTTGAAACAGCATTCATTGAAATATATTAGTGTTCAGAAGTGAAACAACACAAGACTATGAATTTGGTGAGAAGTGGTGGTATATTTAACTCAGTAAACAAAAAAAGCATCCTCCATGCTTAACATTCACACTGATTCCTTAAGTCCTTGTGTAAAGTCTGTTATAATAATTTATACTTCAGGAGGAAATTTATTGCAGTACGAATTCTTTACGGGGAAGCTACCTCTTGGAATATTACTGCATCTGAATCATAAATCTTAGCAGTGTATCTGAATTATCTTAGTCAGAAAACCAATTGATCAAAGCATGTTGGTGACAGGAGAAGCAGCGCTAACTCTGTAATCCTGGAATTGTTCAGATGTACTTGTGAAGTGTTGTGTATCTGCTTCAGCTTATTAGATGATCTACTTGGAGAAAGTAGTAGTATTTCTTTTTTTTTCCTGTCTTATTGTTGCTTAAATTCTGTTGTCCTGCTTCCTAGCTGGAAATTAGGAAGTTCTGGGAAAACTCACTGTGATGTCAAATGATATTTTTGAGGGACCATTCCACTTTCATCTGATCTGAGAGAATAGCATGTATCTGCTACAAGGTTATCATTACTAATGACAAGACAATGGATTTTTGCAGAATTGCCGTCACTCTTCTCTCCCCTCCCGCCTCCCCCCTTCAACTGAATATTGAATGCTAATGGATACAATCCATGGTGGTCTTTTTTAGCTGGCTAACAATGAAGGGGAGAAGGAAATTCAGAAATTCTCTGGAATACTCTACCTAGAGAAGGCATAAGTTTTTTTTCTTGCTTGATTCTATTTTACAATTGTGTGTGTATGGATGATATACTCAATTATTTGGAATAAAATTGTGAATTTAAGACTAAGACATTTTGTCGTAGCAGTGTCATGAGATGTCTTCTGTAGTGATGTTTCATATATGCATTATACCTCATTATGGGATTTTCTTCTATTTTACAAGACAGAATATGAGCATGGACATGTAACGAAATGGGCTGTGTGACGATAGTGAAATGGTTTACTTAATTGATGCAGTTTTATTAATAATAAATGCTGAACTTGTAGGAGAACAGCACAGTTTAGAATGTGAGCATCCTGAACATCACTGTGCATAATACTACCTGGGAGACATTTATTAACAACTATTAACTGCTTCTTTTGTGTTTTTATTATAGGAAGTGTTCTCAAAGGGAATAATACTACTTTCTGCTATAGCAACAGTTAGAGTTCATGGAGAGAATAAATTTGAAGTTGTTACATCCCATAGGACTTTTGTCTTCCGAGTGGATAAAGAAGGTATGTACAATACTTGTATGTAATTCTAATGATTTTTTGAAAGCCATGTAGTCATTGCTGATAAATTAAATAATAATTAAATCATAATTAAATTATGAAGTATAATTTGTTGTATTGCAAAAGGTATTTCTCACATCCATCTATTTGGATTCATGAAGAAGAAAATTGATAACTACAACCTTTGTAGTAAGAAATAAAATACTTTGTAAAGCATCAGAAATAATAACACTTTTCCAGCTCTTCTGCCTCCTTTCCCATTATTTCCGAAGATGAATTTTTCTGGACATTCATTAGATATCACTAGCAACTTTTACAGTCTGTGCACTATCAGCCATCTGCTCTCAGTCACTACTTGATATAAAATTGATGAAGAGCAACAATGAAGTTGATAGCTTGGATGTGATGATGTGATAAGAGACAATGTGATTATTTTTTGTTTGTTTTTATTTACTGCCTCATACAGTATTTTCATCCATTTCATCGTTGGTAGAGAATACAAACAAAAAGAGGAAGTTAGTGCACCTTCTAGTCTAATGCTTTATTATCCTAATGCTGTAATATATAAAATGAATGTCAGTGCATGTATGACTTATTTATGGAAACAATCAAAGAAACTGGAATACCTAGGAAACGAGACATGCAGTATGTATTTACAGCACTGTGTGCCAGACCCATTATAGCTAGGGGTCTCTCAGCATTTCCTTTATCAAATCTCATTTTTGTGGGTTACAGCTTGGTTGTATACATTTGCTGCAGGCTGCAACAGGAGTGCAGCATTGGTGAACAAATCCTTATCAGGTCTGTCTCAAATCAGTTCAGACATTTTTATGCTCTTAGCTAAGAAGTAGGTCTATTTTTATTACTTTTGCCTTTCTCTTCCAAAATAAATTTGGTCGTTTTTATAAATTAGAACATAACTGTCTTAGCACGTTATTTTTTTTGTAGGGCCATAATTTGCTTTATGAGTTGTTATCTTTAAATACCGTAAAACATTAACAACTTATATTGACTCAAAAAGTAAATTTAGAGCAGCCACTTTTTATTCATTAAATTGTATTTTCATTTAGTATGCAACTCTCTTTGGACCTGGTGATGTGTTCATAAAGCTGTTACTGTCACATTAAGGATATAAGTTGATATTGTACAAGTAATTTGATCCTTACTGTATCCAGTGGTGGGTGATGTATTCATAGTAAATTATGTAAATAACCTTGCTTGCTTACTAGTATGTGCACAAACTGTCACTTTATGCTATTCTGTGAATTTGTGATTGGAAATTGTTCTGGGACTATTCCAAGAACACTTTTTAAAAAGATTTTGAAATGAGGTCCTATACATATTTCATCCTGTGGACCTCCTATATCAACTTTTTTTAATTTCTGCTGAAGTATCAAAATACAGAATATTGCCATTGCCTTTGTTGACTTGTGTCCCCTGATACCAAAGTCAGTCCATAATCTGTAGAATATTGCATTTGCTTTCTTGTCTTTTGGTTCTCTGATTATTTGTTTTGCAAACTGGAAATACAATATTTTTTTGAGTAGCAAGGGGGAAATTGTGTAACATTTTGGATAGTTTAGGGCATTTGGGGGGAAAAAATGAAATAGGTGGTAGTGCTAAATTAGAACATATCTGCTCAAATTCTGTGAGATTTTAATTCAGATGAAACATTATTTAAAAAGAAAAACAAACCTTTCAGATTAATTTTGTAAACATCTATACCAAAATAATCCAATGACCTTTTACAATTACTTTCAGAGACTTTAGAATAGAACAGTTATCTTAAAACAAAACCTGTACTTGCTAAGAGGAGCTCTAGAATTGCCTTCTTTGTGCTAGTCTGTCAGGTGCTGTCTTTCTCTTCTTCAAACACTTCTGATGCTTAAATTCATTTGTTGCTTCTTGTTGCTCACATTACATTTATGAAGTGAGTACATTATTGTTTTGATGGTCCTCTCTACAATGCTGGGCACTGATCATGTCAACTTTAGGTGTGCCATGAATTACATGTACAGATATATATTACATCCTGTATGTTTTATGACTCGAATCTCTTAGAGCAAAGAACTGAAGTATTCCTGATGTTTTCATCATGTAGGGCACGTCTAATTGATTCAATATATTCAGTTTTAATATATATTGATCTTAGACTGGGGAAATGTCTGAACAGTGTGTGAGGCTGAGTGGAACTTCATTACTTCACCTACTTGTGATCTTACAAATGTGAAGCTAAACTAATACCGCATGCAAAACATGTTCAAACATACATTTTCTTGATTACTCAGTGCCCCTGACAATATCGAGCTTCACCACTATGCCTTAATGGAGTAGTCTGTGAATTGCCAAATGTTTCATAAAAGCATGGTCCAACAGAGTAGCGTTTGGGTTGGCTTCTCTCTTCAGTGATGGATAATATTTAGGCTCCATACTATTTGCTTGCATTACTTCCCATAGTCCTTTTCTTATTGCCCGATGAATAATAAATGAAGAACATGTTACCTGTACGCCACCTCAGTTGTTAAGCTCTGTGAAATTAAGCATCTTAGAACTAGCAGTCATGATTTTTGAAAACTGTAATATTTTCATAACTTTCAATTACTTTTTTTTTTTATTTATTTTTGTGGAAGGTACCTGAGTGGATAACCTTGCTAGCCTCTCCTCTTCTATATTTGTTTTTTTTTTTTTTTTTTTTTTTTTTTTTTTACCTCTTTTTCAAGGTAGATGTTATCTCTTATGCTGTAGTTATACCATCAACCAGCAAGGCATAGTAGGAAGAAAAAGAAAAGAAATATGGTAGAAAGTGGAGCTGCTGCTTAACATATAACCTCTATCTAATTTTCTTCCTTGTTTAGAAGAAAGGAATGACTGGGTTGATAAAATACTCAATGCCGTGAAATCTCAATCTGATAATAACCCTCAGTCTCGAATTTCTGTTGCTCCTGAGAAAAGTGGATATCTTGAACTGAAAGGATACAAAGCCAAAATCTTTATTCTTCTTCAAGGGAATACTGTGTGGATCTGCAAAAATGAGCAGGTAAATTTTTCATGTGATTTTTGTGAATGAATGCTTGAAAAGATGGTGTTAGAAAATGATGGTTCTTTGTGAATATAAATGCATATCCTTTTTTTTATGTAGCACTTTATTGTTGCAATTCTGAAAAGACTTCAAAAAGCAAGAAATGTATCATTATACCTGTTGTACAATAAAAAAACCAAATATGTAGTGAGGTGAAATGAAAAGCCTTGAGTGTCACAACAGGTTAGTGGCGGGGGTAGGATTAATTCACTCTTAAAAGTGTGTATCATAAGTACTACTAATTCAGCTTATTTTGTGCACTGCTTTCCCTGTCCTCCTGTAGTACAGTGCTCTAGAAAATACCACAATGTACTTATATACATAACATATTTAAAGTGACACTTCATCTAAATGTTCGACGTTAATGTTCCTTGTGTTTTTAAGAACCTGAATTGACTTGTTGTGCACTGTAATATATTAAACAAATCCAGAATTTAAAAAAAAAACAACACAAAGTAGCTTGCACTCCAGTTCCCAAATCCAGGGTTGTGTAGTTTTGTTGTCGTTTGCCTGGGGTTTTTTTTGTTTTCTTTTTTATTTGGTTTAATTGTGAGTATATTATGATGTAATGTAGTTAACTGTGGAATTCCCTAGGATGCTGTAGATAAAGGGTATAAATGGGAGCTCAATGGATGGCTGTGCAAGCTGTTGGAAGAATATCTATTACAGGACAGTAAATGAAAGGTACTATTTCTGTGTAAGGAAATTGGCAACCCATGAGAGCCAGGGTGAGGACCTGGGGAAAGCGCTATTGCTATGCCTTGCTCTTTCAGATTTGTGTACTTGCAAATTCTTATTTAAAATATGATTGCTCTCATGGTAACTAGTCCTTTTGTTGTTCACTTCCTCACCTACTGTGTCCTCTTCTATATGGAGAAAGTGTTCCAGAGCCATTCACTTTCAAGTTGAAAATTATGATTAATCTAGGATAGTTTAACATGTATTTTTGTATCCCCTCCCCTAAAAATTTTCTTACACGTGTTTTCAATTATTATTGTGTGTTTGCATGTGTATGTTGAATCTATTGCTTGAGGGGGCTGTTTGGTAAACTGTATCAGCTGTGCCCGTTAAGTATCTACGACTTCACATTTGTTTTAGCTAATCATGAAAGCACACCTTTAAACAGCCTTTTGACTAGATGCTTATTCCCTTCTACTACATGGATGCTCTGCACAGGTCAGGAAATGCAGTGCAGCAGATGGCAAACCAAAATGAAGACCTGGAACAGCATGAAGTTTATACATGCTGTCAGCTTGTCATTTCCTTCTCCTTGAATGAAATTTATGAACAATGGTGCAAAACTAGCACATCTCCTAAGCCTGTTTATTTAAAACCAAACATGTCAAATGATCCTAAGAGGATTCTTGTTAGATCCTCTATTTGAACAAATGACTTCTGCCTTTTTGGAAATCAGAAAAAATAGCTTCTGTCTTCAAGCTTTCATGCAATCTAGTTCTCCTGGTACCTCTTTTGTTTTTCAACTTTTAGATAAAATGTATTGTTTTTACTGCTGCATTAAAGAAATGCTCAGTAATGTAGTTCTAATCCAGTAGAGGGCTCTGATGTTTTACAAATCTTTGCCAGTCTCAAGCTTGTTCTTCAGCCATTAATTACCAAGCAAATACATCCAGGGATGTCCTTTAATTCTGCTCATATTGGAATTCACATCCTTACTAGAGAACTACTCCCAGAGAGACTTAGAAGGGTTTATTATAACTGCAGTGCTAAAAGACACCTATTTACACTTCTTACAATGTTGAGATGAGATCGGATCAAGCTGATTTATTGATTTCTATTAAACTTGATAGAGGAGAGTCCACTGGTGCTTTAAAAGATTTTTCTTCATTGTTAAAAGTGGAGAAGATCCTAAGCCAAATGCCTAATCCTAACATAACCAACATGAACTTTGTGAAGTTCAGACTGAGATCAGAACAACATGTCTCAGGCCCATTTCTAGTTAAAAAGTGATGGGTTAGCCTGAGCTTCTGGCAGTGATATAGTGCTAGTAAGAAACCATCAATTTCTTTGACTCTCTATGTAGTGTGAATTTCTTAAACTTCCTCTCTGGAGCAGGTGTGAAAAATAGATCGTACAGAATCAATTTGTTCAACCTGCAACTTGCTGAAATTCCCATTTCTATTTCAAAATCATTCGTGCTTAAATAAAAACATGTCATCTGATCCTTCATGACAGCTCAAACATTGGCTTGAAATGTCAGGCTACTGCGATGGTGCCAGTGATAACCTCCCCTCTGTGACCATCAGAAGGGCTGTGACAGATGCCTTCCTGGTCTGCCAGAAAATACCCACTTCATTGGGGTGTATACAAGCTTCTCTGATAGAGCTGAAGCCAGGGATGGCCTATATGTCACAGTATTTGCACTGGAGTTTGGCTTTGATAAAGATAACTAGAGATTTTTTTTTGATTCTGCCTTGGGTAATTTCAAAATAGATGCATTTACATGGGGTATTAGAGAAAACAGCAAAATAGAAAGACTGGGAAATAGTATGTATGGCTGCATGCCATGATTATTTACAACTTTTTCCCACCATGCATGACTCCAAGTTAAAGCTTGAATAATGATGAGTGTTCTGCTGTGTATGAGAAGTAGTACCCGTTTCATATTAAAAAATAAATAAATAAAAAACCAAAAAACCCCACAAAACTCTTATTTCATTTTGGCTGGAAATCTTATTGATTTCAGAGGGCTTTTGTTTTGTCAAAGATTGAAATGATTTGCTCAGTGGCAGATGGGAATGTTTATGCATGTTGAATGAACCAGTAAGATAGTACCTAATTTCCATTTCCTCTCTAATGTTAGTAGTGCATTTAAAGCAAACCTGGGCAACATCAAGCGATGTATTACAGGAGATGATCAATTAAACACATTCTGTAATGTAGAGAGCTGATAAAGGGGGGCACAGGTGGAAGGAAAAATCAGCTGCTCAGTGTTTGTAATCTGAAGGAGAGGAGGTTAGGTTAAAGTCACTGGAGGGGATGTGTGCAAGTATTCATTGTGTTAGATTCTTCACTGTATCACTGTGATAATATTGTGAATATCAAATGAGTCAAGGGTGATGTCAGCAGCAGTATGAAATGAGAGAATTTGAAAGTAATTGCCTAAAGATTCTGAGAACTAATGAGGAGTCCTGAGCAGTAACTTGAGTGCCAGTTCAGTGGTTGCTACTTAAAGCTGAGGTGTTGTGGTGTTACTGTGTTGCAAAAGCCGCTGATCATTTTGGAAAGGAAGCTGGGGAAAAGGGTGAGGAATTAAAGAGAACAAAAGAAAGTGAGAGGGGCAGTCAGAAGAGTTGATGGATGATAAATGAAATGAGAATGAAGTGCTGGATGCCCACTGGAGTGGGGCAGTGAATGAAATATTGAATTACTGTGATTGAAAAACCACAAGAAAGAATCCATCCCTCTCCATGTGGAGAGCACATGTAGTTTTGGAGATGTTTGGTAATAAGCTATTGTTTGTAACAAGTACTGGTAAGTTCTGTGAAATTGCCTGCTTGATTGCTGGTGTAGACTATGTTCAAATGTGCTTTAATTATATGATCTTGTCAAGAATGTCTTAAATATGTGGAGGTAACAGAAGAGCTAATGAACCTTTGCCCTCGTTTGTCCTTGTAGAAGTGTTCTTCAGGCTTCACTCTTCAAAATGATCTGTAGCAAGATGTAAAAATACATAGTAAGAATGTAAGGAAATATGTTGGGGGAGAGAAGATTAAGGTGAAAACATGTTTTGATATCAAATATATACTGGCAACTTGAAGTGGAAGCAAATTATCTAGCCTCTTTTAAATACAGTTGTTTGCATCAAGCTGTAGCAGGGATGATGAATTAAGGTTGTGTTTCTAATTTTACAGCGGTTTCTTGGCATGCAGTTCACTCTAGTCTTCCACACTCAAAACCATGGCAAAGATCAATTGCTGTGCATGACATCAGGAACAACTAAGTGCAAAATAACTTGTATTCTGTAAGAAAGCTTAAAAGTTTCTGTTTTTGGCTTGTGTGCGATAGGAAATGAATTTTAACAGGGAGTTCTGTTGATATGGGGGAGGGTTTCTGAGCTTAACTTCTTCAGATTTCAACTAATTACTCAAAAAAAACCAAACAAACAAACAGCAAAGCATTTTAAATAATACACTAATAACATGATTGAATCAGACAAGAGTAATGTGACGGTGACTCATCTGTACAAGCAAGATCTGCATTTAACATTCAAAAATATTTTTATGGGATATTGCTCTAGGTTGTTAAAGATAAAATTAAAGAGAAGGCAGAATTATATCAAATACAAAATAAGTTAATGCTAAGTACTTCTCTTCTTCTCTGTGTAGTTAAATTAAACCTTGCCTACATAAGTTTTTCTTCCTTGTTTGTTTTTATGCTGTTAAGATCTTACTAAGCTGTAAATACACCTAAAGGTATCGTGAAGTGCGATAGGAAGCCTAACGCTTCCATAGTGATCAAAAGTTTCATGATCAATTTGATTTGGTGTGGAGGGTAGGGATGGAGAAAGGGAAAAGACAAAGTTATCAGCTTCACAATTATGCTCAGTTGAGCTTTCTGGAATAGCAAATAGGTATACAACCAGCTACCTTGATTGTGTAAAAGTTAGTAGTGAAGAAAATTAAGATTTGTTTGAATACTGTGAAGAAAAAGGATTTCGCTGTATGGCACAGCATATGTGTGAATAGCTGAAGAAGGTTTTAGATTTACTCATCGTAAGGTTACTATTAATGCATTCTGGGGGAAATTCCTATTTAATTGTAATCATACCAGTCAGTTTTCATGGCAGACATGCTTCATCCTTCATTTCAGATGTAAAACTATTTAATATGGCTGAAATGTTAGTGTTTTTGTAAAGCTGCAAAACTGTCATAAAAGTGAAGAGCAAAGTATTTCTGAGACAGTGTAGAAAACACATCCTCACTGAAACATTCATTCAA